TTAATTGTCTACTCTTGTGAAAGATTTACATTTGCCACCTTATTTAGCTTTACATACTTTAGAAGCCTGACACTTCAGCTGGTGTCTGGGGCTGGAAAGACGTCCCTTATCTCCTACCCTGGTGACCATATAGGAAGAAATGCATGCCGTTTGTGAGATCAGCCAGCTGGCATGGCACCTACTGTTAGATGTAGATGAGCTATGACCCCCAGACACCATTTGAAGTATCAATGTCCCCATTGATTTTCCCTCTGTTTCTGTTCTGGTGTCAATAAAATATTTGGGATTTTCTTTCACTTTCACTCTTGGTAATAATGGTAAACCTGAACAAAGAGGATAATTCTCCTAAACAGGGGAACGGACATAATTAAAAACCTGACAGGGGTTTTAATTCCTCTCCACTCCATACAAAACTAAAAAGTTTTGCATTTAGTATCTGGGGTCTCACCATGAAAGCTTGGCCAGTGCTAAAGGAAAATCTGGCCTGGTGGAGGTAAACACTGAAATAGATTGCAACTGTCATTCATAGGCAAGTAAGCATCTGGGTGGGAGGTTTGTAGGGTACTTTACATTAGAGTACAAGGAAGGGTGGACTAATAGAGTATAGAGTTTATCAAAGGTGAACTGGTCTTAAATCCCATCTTCAGGCAAATATAAAATCCCCTCAATCACCCCCCCCCCCCCCGGCACCCCACCCTTGACAAATCATTTTTAAAAAGAAAGTATTATGTCACATGTACTTTGCTGTCCTCTCCCACTTGTGAGGAGCCGGTGATCCAGCTGTGTATTCTGTGTCTACAATAACCAGTCATCTTGTCATGATGTCATCTCGCCATGCAGTCCCCTGGAGCCTAATGTTGGCCATACGCTAGTCGAAAAATAATTTGAACTTGTTTTAGAATAACAAACACTCAATCGTGAGAGTTTTGTTTATGCGCAGTAAAAACAGTTAAATTTTTACACGAGGAGAAACACATTAACCTTTCAATTTATTGTCTGTTTGGCAGAAGTTTCCCAACCTTTTCCTTGGATTTTTTGGGTCAAAAAAGTCCACCATAGCAACCAGTTGCAGGCCTGTGTTATGGAAATCCATGACCTGGTTACAAGGTATGGGAAGGAAATGGTCAACACAGAGCACACTTGAGGTCACACTATGTGCTCGGTGGGACCCCAATCTGTTACTGGGAGTTAGGTTACAGAAGTACGCTAGACTGGTGGAGTGGGCGCAGGCTCAGTGCGTCCCTCTTAATGCAGATACTATTAAAGTTCCAGTGTGCAAGTGACATGGGACACAATGCTTCAAAAGAACTCTGTATCTACAGTCAGGTCCATAAATATTGCGACATCGACACAATTCTAACATTTTTGGCTCTATACACCACCACAATGGATTTGAAATGAAACGAACAAGATGTGCTTTAACTGCAGACTGTCAGCTTTAATTTGAGGGTATTTACATCCAAATCAGGTGAACGTTGTAGGAATTACAACAGTTTGCATACAGTATGTGCCTCCCACTTGTTAAGGGACCAAAAGTAATGGGACAGAATAATAATCATAAATCAAACTTTCACTTTTTAATATTTGGTTGCAAATCCTTTGCAGTCAACTACAGCCTGAAGTTTGGAACGCATAGACATCACGAGACGCTGGTTTTCATCCCTGGTGATGCTCTGCCAGGCCTCTACTGCAACTGTCTTCAGTTCCTGCTTGTTCTTGGGGCATTTTCCCTTCAGTTTTGTCTTCAGCAAGTGAAATGCATGCTCAATCGGATTCAAGTCAGGTGATTGACTTAGCCATTGCATAACATTCCACTTCTTTCCCTTAAAAAACTCTTTGGTTGCTTTTGCAGTATGCTTTGGGTCATTGTCCATCTGCACTGTGAAGCGGCGTCCAATGAGTTCTAGAAGCATTTGGCTGAATATGAGCAGATAATATTGCCCGAAACACTTCAGAATTCATCCTGCTGCTTTTGTCAGCATTCACATCATCAATAAATACAAGAGAACCAGTTCCATTGGCAGCCATACATGCCCACGCCATGACACTACCACCACCATGCTTCACTGATGAGGTAGTATGCTTAGGATCATGAGCAGTTCCTTTCCTTCTCCATACTCTTCTCTTCCCATCACTCTGGTGCAAGTTGATCTTGGTCTCATCTGTCCATAGGATGTTGTTCCAGAACTGTGAAGGCTTTTTTAGATGTCGTTTGGCAAACTCTAATCTGGCCTTCCTGTTTTTGAGGCTCACCAATGGTTTACATCTTGTGGTGAACCCTCTGTATTCACTCTGGTGAAGTCTTCTCTTGATTGTTGACTTTGACACACATACACCTACCTCCTGGAGAGTGTTCTTGATCTGGCCAACTGTTGTGAAGGGTGTTTTCTTCACCAGAGAAAGAATTCTTCAGTCATCCACCACAGTTGTTTTTCCGTGGTCTTCCAGGTCTTTTGGTGTTGCTGAACTCACCGGTGCATTCCTTCTTTTTAAGAATGTTCCAAACAGTTGTTTTGGCCATGCCTAATGTGTTTGCTATCTCTCTGTTGGGTTTGTTTTGTTTTTTTCAGCCTAATGATGGCTTGCTTCACTGATAGTGACAGCTCTTTGGATCTCATCTTGAGAGTTGACAGGAACAGATTCCAAATGCAAATAGCACACTTGAAATGAACTCTGGACCTTTTATCTGCTCATTGTAATTGGGATAATGAGGGAATAACACACACCTGGCCATGGAACAGCTGAGAAGCCAATTGTCCCATTACATTTGGTCCCTTAACAATTGGGAGGCACATATGCAAACTGTTGCAATTCCTACACCGTTCACCTGATTTGGATGTAAATACCCTCAAATTAAAGCTGACAGTCTGCAGTTAAAGCACATCTTGTTCGTTTCATTTCAAATCCATTGTGGTGGTGTATAGAGCCAAACATGTTAGAATTGTGTCGATGTCCCAATATTTATGGACCTGACTGTACTTTTGCACACAGTGAAGGCTTATCTCAAAGTCAGAGAACTGCCTTAATGTTAGATTTTTCACATGATTGCAATCTCCACCTGGTCCTGGGCACTGGTAAGCGCGCGTCACACATAACGATTTTCCCATGTGCATGGGCAAAGTTAGGCCCCACCCACAAACTAGTTTGCCCGGTGTGTAGGGAACAGAATCCTCAGCTTGATTCAACTTGTATCAGTGGATGGTTGAACTTCAAATCGTTTGTTGAGTGCAGTGATGAAATATTATGGGCCTATCAGTTACAGGAAATCTACTACTGTTCGCTTTAGAATCCACTGTGCTGCTTGAACAAAATTACGATTATGAAGCGATGAAAAAAAACACAACGTTTGCTTTGTTCCTGTTATGAAATCTTTATTCAATTTATCCAATTATGGGACTTGCTCCAAGGGTTAAGCACAGTCTTTCAGTCATAATTGCTGTTGTAATCTTTGAAAAAAATTCCAACAGACAGAGATGAATCTTTTATGTTGTTTGGTAATTTGCGGCATGTCATAACATTATTTTAATCTGAATGTAATCTTGCATTGTTCCGACATGAAATCCAATGTTCTGCAGGATCATTAAATGTACATAAACATTTTTTGTTATAGCTTGTAGTTCACTTTCTAGAAAAATACTTACTAGAGGTTCAAAAGAAAGGCTTTGTTTAACTGATTATTCCAAGATTAAAGGCAGTAGCAACATAATGAAATTAAACAAACTTAAAGCCAAATGTTAGGGTAGGTTACAATAAAAAGACATACTATTTGGTACACCTCTGTAATTCATACACTTTGCACATTTTTTATCACTGTAAAAACAAAAATACCTGGTGATCTGCTAGAACTAAAATGTTCTTCATACTTCCTGTTTGGGCTGACAACACATGCCTTTTCTGCTCTGAAATTACAATCAGTGTTGTCAGCCCGGCCTGCTGGACTGCAGAACTCTACCTACCTCTACCCTCTTTGTACCTCTCCACATTCATACAACAGTTTTTCCCCCAGCTAAACAATACTGCTTGCTGCCTTGTTTCCCAAAAAGCCTGCAGACACACTGTGTGTAAGAAAAGAGCTCTTGGGAAATGAGTGTGTTCCCTTGTTTGTAGGACCTCCCAACAGCTACTCTCCTGCAAGAATTTTGCAAGTCTGATGATGATGTCAAAGTGAGCAATAAAAGCTGTTTGTTGCTGCAGGAGCAAGGTAATCAAAGAAAAAAAATTGATGGAACATGCCCTAGTGCACGGGTGTCAAACTGGCGGCGCTCCAGCTGTTGCCAAACTACAAGTCCCATGAGGTATTGCAAGATGGACAGTTACAAGCATGACTCCGAAAGGCAGAGGCATGATGGGACTTGCAGTTTTGCATCAGCTAGAGGGCCACTAGTTTGACACCCCTGCCCTAGAGCAGTGATGGCGAACCCGTGGCACGCGTGCCACAGCCGGCACGCCGAGCCTTATCTGTGGGCACGCCAGGAGAATCCAGCGGCGCGCTGTCTTCCGGCTGTAGTGTGCGTGACAGCCGGGTCCCAAGTGCGCATGCACAAGAAGCAGTGCTCTTTGTGAATGGTAAGGCGGTACCTGGGACACATGACAGATCCCAGAAGCCGCCGGACCAATCACAAAGCGCAGCGCTTCTCGCGCATGCGCACTGGGCATCCGGCTGTCCGACGAGCGCCCACACTACAGAAGCCGGGAAGACAACGCGTGGCTGGATAAAGGAACAGGTAAGATAAAAAAAAAAAACTCTGCGGAAGTAAGAGCGGGTACCTGTCAAATTCAGGTACCCGCTCCCCCTCCCTCCCCAAAGGTCAGCAGTCATCTCTGTACTGTCCGCAGTCTCTGGTCATCCCTGTGCTGTCCGCAGTCTCTGGTCATCCCTGTGCTGTCCGCAGTCTCTGGTCATCCCTGTGCTGTCCGCAGTCTCTGGTCATCCCCTGTACTGTCCGCAGTCTCTGGTCATCTCCTGTACTGTCCGCAGTCTCTGGTCATCCCTGTGCTGTCCGCAGTCTCTGGTCATCCCTGTACTGTGTCCGCAGTCTCTGGTCATCCCTGTGCTGTCCGCAGTCTCTGGTCATCCCTGTACTGTCCGCAGTCTCTGGTCATCCCTGTACTGTGTCCGCAGTCTCTGGTCATCCCTGTACTGTGTCCGCAGTCTCTGGTCATCCCTGTACTGTGTCCGCAGTCTCTGGTCATCCCTGTACTGTTAATTAGTTTGCACTACTGTACGAGTTGTTTTTTCTAAACCAAAAGCTCGATATTCAGGTTTCATTGCAGTGTTGGCACTTTGAAAGAAATAAGTTGGTTTTGGGTTGCAGTTTGGGCACTCGGGCTCAAAAAGGTTCGCCATCACTGCCCTAGAGGGACAGAGGGAGGTTGTTTTTTATAGCCTGGACATACTGTACACTTTAAGGTTCCATGCACATGGGGCCATCTAGCTGCAGAGTGTCCCGGCATTTTAGTGCAATTCGGACCTTCGTCCTTGAACAAACAGGGCACATCCAGCTACAACCTGCCATGGACTTTGACAGGCTGTCTGCTCTGGGGGTGGATGCTGTACCTGTCTTTTCTGGATAAATTAAAATGCTGGCAGAGACACACTCTTCTAATGGACCTAAAGCTGAATTCCAGGTCAGTATAAAACACTGTTCAATGTATTATCCCACCAATGTGCACTTTTCGCTAAGCAAGTTATAATGTGATCCAAGCAACTGTTATGTTGGATTTGGTGCAAAAACATTGGAAGTCTTTAGTTGCCTTGAGCAAGTCTAGATGATTGGTGTGTGGGGCTACCTCAAGGCATGCCTGCTCTCAATTTATTCATTGCCATATACACTCATTGGCCACTTTATTAGGTACACATGTTCAATTGCTTGGTAACACAAACTGCTAATCAGCCAATCACATGGCAGCAACTCAATGCATTTAGGCATGTAGACGTGGTGAAGACAACTTGCTGAAGTTCAAACTGAGCATCAGAATGGGGAAGAAAGAGGATTTAAGTGACTTTGAACATGGCATGGTTCTTGGTGCCAGATGGACTGGTCTGAGTATCTCAAAAACTGCTGACCTACTGGGATTTTCATACACAAACCATCTCTAGGGTTTACAGAGAATGGTCCAAAAAAGAGAAAATATCCAGTGAGTGGCAGTTGTATGGACAAAAATGCCTTGTTGATGTCACAGGTCAGAGGAGAATGGGCAGACTGGTTTGAAATTATAGAAAGGCAACAGTATCTGAAATAACCACTCATTACAACCAAGATATGCAGAATACCATCTCTGAATGCACAACAGATCGAACCTTGGAGCAGATGGGCTACAACAGCAGAAGACCACAGGAGGTGCCGCTCGTGTCAGCTAAGAACAGGAAACGGAGGCTACATTTAGCACAGGCTCACCAAAATTGGACAACAGAAGATTGGAAAAACGTTGCCTGGTCTGATGAGTCTCGATTTCAGCTGAAAAATTCAGATGGTAGGGTCAGAATTTGGCATAAACAACATGAAAGCTTGGATCCATCCTGCCTTGTATGAATAGTTCAGGCTGGTGGTGGTGTAATGGTGTGGGAGATATTTTCTTGGTACTCTCAAGGTGTACCTAATGAAGTGGCCAATGAATGTATATGTCCTAGTCTAGGAGCTTAGAATTTACACTTTACAGAATTGCCCTGATGTGGTAGTGTGGCTCATGACCAGGACAGAAGGGGCAGGAGGTGCTGCCGCCCAGTGCAACGCTGTTATGCAGGAGCACCACTTGGGGACCAATGCTATCTTTTCCACACACCTACTCCAAATCAGTGGCTGGCAGTCAGTGGACTGCAGCTTTAGGTCTGCAGTAACAGCTACTGATATTACACCATGCTCCATCACTCACACCCTAGCTGCCCCTTGCTGACAGAAAAAAGCACACTGCACATGTGCAACCAGCTCCTAGCTGTTATAAAGCACACAAATGGCTGCACATGCACAGTACATATTCAGTGCGAACCATGGGCAGCTGGATCATGTATTCAGAGAGTTAGTGTGGGGCGGTAGCCCATTCTATGTAATGCATTATTAGCGGGGAAGGGGAGCACAGTTCTACACCTTCACCCTGGGCAATGGATGAGCCTGTCCTGGTACTGGTGTGGCTTTATGTACATTTAGAAATGTATACAACTAATGCTGTTGAAACTGTTTAATTTGCAGCATTGCCATGTGGAGGTAAAATTACATTGGGAGATGTCCTGTTTGACCTCTCAGTACTCTAACAGAATTTTTCCTGCTGTCAGAGGGGTCAGTGTCTGAGCACAATGAAACAATAATTAAATGGCCACTCCACCAAAAGTGATGTTTTTGCTAGAACTGGTTGGCTGAATCATATTATAACTTCTAATCTCCAAGGCTTCAAATTAAGAAGCCATTCCATTTTTTTGGAAAATCCCCAGCAAATGCATTTCCCCTGTCCATGTCCCGCAGTGTCCTGTGTATACACAGGCTCTATTTGAAGGTCTAGGATATCAGGTTATTCGTATAATGCTGCTGCTCAGGAAGATTTGCATTGTATCATATATCTTTCAGTCACCTTCTGAACCATAATTGCAGCATTGCCATCAATAACGACAGTTTGTTTGACTCTTTAGTCCAGGGCAGGCTATATATGGCCCAAGGGTGAGTCAGAGTTGTAGCACCAGCTCCATGTTTATAGAAACACATGGAAATGAAATATCATAGCCACCTTGGTTCTGCAGCTAAACTTTGTTGTCTCTGGCTTCTCTCCTGAAAACTGTTCTTAAAGCATATCTAAACCCTATTATTGATATTGTGCAGGATTTATACAGTAAAAACAGTCTGCGCAGCACTTTACAAATGAAGGCAGACATTACAGTTACAATACAATTTGAAACAGGAATCAGAGGGCCCTGCTCGTTAGAGATTTCAATCAAGGAGGGTCACGTGATACAAAAGATAATAACTGTGGGGGATGAGCTGATGGAGAAAGTAAAAACACTGTATTAGTTAGAAGCAGGATATGCTTCTTTAACCGTTTCAATACCGTGCAATTTTACACCTTCCTGCCCAGGCCATTTTTCAGGTTTCAGCGCTCTCACACTTTGAAAGACAATTGCGCGGTCATACAACACTGTACCCAAACTAAAATTTTATCATTTTTTTCACACAACTAGAGCTTTCTTTTGGTGGTATTTAATCACCGCTGGGGTTTTTATTTTTTGCTAAATTAACAAAAAAAGACCCAAAATTTTGAAAAAAAAACACATTTTTCTTTGTTTCTGTTATAAAAGTTTACAAATAAATAATTGTTCTTCATAAATTTAGGCCGAGATGTATTCTGCTACATGTCTTTGGTGAAAATAACCCAAATTAGGATGTATTTTTTAGTTTGTAGGAAAGTTATAGAGTTCACAAACTATGGTATAGATCTGAATATTGATCAATCCTGAAGTACTGACAGCCAATCTAGTTTCTTGAGGTCTAAGAATGTCAGAACAGTACAGATATCCCCCAAATGACCCCTTTTTGCAGAGTAGACAGTCCGACGTACTTCATAAGAGGAATGGCGAGTTTTTTGAAGTTGTATTTTTTTTGTCATAATTTTTCGGAAAATTAAAAAATTAAAAAAATTATTTTCACTATTATTTTTTTTACATACTGTCACCAGTGCAGTACAGCGTCATCATATAACTGGCATGGCGGTGAACAGGGACACTGACTGGTGACAGTATGAAAAAAAAAATATATATATATTTTTTTTAATTTTTTTTTTTTTTTATTATATTTAATTTTTTATTACATTTTTTTTTATTTTTTTAAAGATTTATTTTTCATATTTTACTATGACCAAAGTAGTACAATGTTACCATAGTAACATTGTACTACTTTGGGGAAGTGATCAGTATTTTTTTTTTTTTTTTTACACAATTTGCTTATAGCAAAGAATTACTTTGCTATAAGCAAGCATTTACCTGAATGAAATCAATTCATTCAGCTTTTTTTTTTTTTTTTGTGCTTAGCTGTGATTTGGTCACAGCTAATCACATGACATGTGCATGTGATTAGCTGTGACCATTCACAGCTAGGCACTAGTATACAATGGATGGCATCATCATGAATGAAGCCATCCATTGTATACAACTGTCATGTGACCTGATGTGATTGGTCACAGCAGGTCACATGGTACCAGCAACGGGAGCCGGTACTCGGATCTGTCATCGGCCGTGTCCGAGGTGCACGGCGGTGACAGATCACACTGCTGCGCCGCTCTGCATTAGCGCAAACTGCGCATGTGCGGGAGCACGCCACATGGCGTGCACCCGGAGTGCAGAGACACATTTGAAGCCGCCAAACGGCCATTGGCCGGGCGGCTAATGGTTAAAGAGATGGGGTTTCAGGGATCGCCTAAAGATGGGTAGATTAGGAGATAGTTGGACAGATTGGGGTAAGGAGTTCCAGAGAATGGGAGAGGCCCTAAAGAAGTCCTGGAGGCAAGTATGGGAGGAGGTGACGAAGGAGCTAGAGACCAGGAGGTCTTGAGAGAACCCGAAGAGAACAATATGGTTGGTATTTTGAGACCAGGTTAGTGATGTAGCTGGTTGTGGATGGCTTTCTAAGTTATTGTGAGAATTTTGAATTTTATTAGTTGGGTGAGCGAAAGCCAGTGGAGGGATTGGCAGAGAGGGGTGGCAGACACTGAATGGTTGGCAAGGTGGATGAGTATGGCAGAAGCATTCATGATTGACTGAATGGAGGATAGCCAATGTAAAGGTAAACCAATAAGGAGGGAATTGCAGTAGTCAAGGTGAAAGATAACTAGGGAGTGAATTAGAAGCTACAGTATTAGGGTCCTGTCCACTGCAGTAGTTCTGGAAGATTTGGCATTTCTGCCAGTACCCTGCATGGCCGCAGAAGCACACATTAGCCTCAGTTTGGTGCCAGATGGCCTTTATAAGGAGGCTCATCACTTCTTCAAGTTGCTAGATGATCTCTAGCTCCCCGTGCCTTGTTCCTGTTTCCTGTGTTATTGTGATTTCCTGATACCGACTCGGCTTGCTCTTGGACCTGTCTACTCTGCTTAACCCCTGATCTGATCTCGACTTGGCTTACGGATACTCTCTCTCTCTCCTCTGCGTATGACCTCGGCTATCCCATCTTACCACATCTGCTCTGATTCCCACCTGGTACCTGACCTCAGCTTGAACCAGCTCTCCAGTAAATTTCTAAATCCCAGAAGGGCTTGCATACCTCACACAGGCGCCACCTGTCTGCAGACCTATCTCCGTACATCAACTGTGCTTCTGGGTGGACCACCAACCAGCACTCCTATAGGCGACCTGTGCCACTTTGGGCCTGACTCCTGCTGTCCTACTCTCAGGGGAGTCTGGAACTTAGCCGCAAGGGAAGCCCTCTCTCCATTGGCCTCCATCATTAGGTACGTGATAGAAGCTTTGTGGTGTCGTTGGTTAAAAAGAGGCGTATTTTGGAGATATTGGAAAGGTTGAGACAGCATGATTTGGACAGCTATTGGATGTGGGGCTGAAAGGAGAGTTCAGAGTCCAGGGTAACCCCTAGCACTTTTGCATGCGAGGACGGACTGATAGTTGTGCCATCAATCTTGACAGAGGAGTGAGGGGAAGGGGTATGTGGTGGAGATTGCGTTTGAGGGAACATCCATTAAGATCTCTGTTTTGAAAAATATAGATTGCGTTTGACATCATAGGAACAGTGGTGTGAGTAACATCCACAATATTTAGACATCCAAAAGGCTGATGTCTGTATAGAAAATCAGTAATACACGAGGAAACTGATGGTGTTAGCTGAGGGGTTGAAAGGTAGATTTGGGTGTCATCAGAATAGAAATGGGAGGGAGGAGTTGCATTTTTAGAATAAAAGAGGTCCAAGGACAGAACCTTGGGGTATCCGAAAGGAAAAAAAAAGCGGAGGAGGTAGAGTAAGTGAGCCCTGAATGTCTGGTGGACCTCTATGAAACATCATGGAGGTGGATAGACTGTGGACCCAGAGGAGCAGGCTAGCTTTGTGGTTGACTGCCTAGTAAGCTATCAGTTACAGCTGGGTTTGGCAATCTGTCGATAGTGGCCAGGTGACGGGTAGACAGCGATCTTTCCTTACTGACCTTGAACCTGGATAGGAGAGACAGCCAGGGTGTCATTTCCGACCCCCTGTATTTGCCTACTGCACCAGCTGAAAGTCGACTTCTTCTCCTCTCCCTTCTGCCGTCATTCAACTGCTGCAGGAGGAATATGCAGGGGATCAGTAGCAGTAAATTCCACCCCACTTGCCCCTCCTATTCCTCTTCTTTGTGCCGCCTGGGCCCCCTGTGTGCTCCCCTGGCCCTCCTTCCCCCCACAGCGCTGCTGGTTTCCCACCTCTCCTCTCTCGCCAACTGCTGGGGGGATCTACTTGGGATGGAGAGCAGGACAAGGGGCTGGTAAATATGCTATTTACCAGCCCTTTCCTTTTCTCTGCTCTGACGTTGTGCTTTGCAATGCAAGACTGGTAGCCTTGAATGTGTGCAGTGGTGCCTGCCCTGCACATGTGGGGGTACCTTTCGCCTTGCACATGCGCACCAATACCTGGGACCAGACAGAGGTGCGTTCAGGTGAAAACCTGCCCATAGCTCAGGCATTGGTTGAGCTGAGAACCCTCCCCTTCTGAAGACCCCTTGGATGTTTGACACCATTTGCCTAGGTATGGAAACCAGGAATTAACTGGAGAAGCGTAAAAAAAAGTTTAAAACAAGTAAATATTATATACTTTACTATCTATTTACTAATGTTAGCAGCATAGGGATTAAAAATAGTCCATGTTCCACTTTAACTCCTTCAGCTTTCCCGTACCCTATGGTTAAGCTGCAGGTCTCCATAACGAGGGTTTAGTCCGGGTTGCTCTGGGAAACTGACTGCTGGGGAGGAAGCCAGATCACTGACCCTTTTGCTACTGGAGGACCCTACGCCCTACCAGGTACCACACCTCATGACAGGCTGCTGTACACTTGACACCATTACATGGTTACACATGGCAACTGCATTCCTCTAATTCTTGTCTTGCCAAGTTAACCCCTTAGGTAGTGCACTGCTTCATATCCCATGTGTGCTTTACCAGTCCATGTTCTTTTATACGCCAGGAACCTTCAAGTACCCCTTTAAAGTAACTTCAGACCAGGCTTAGAAAACAGTTCAATGAGCTTTACTGAGAACATTTCAAATGATACAAGCATAAGTTCAGTGTATTCATCCCTAACTAACTACTCTCGTGACTGTCCAGGCATACCTTAAGAAGGTCCATGACTGGCGACAATCCAGCACATGGTGATTCTCTGGCAACCGGTGTCCTCGGGCAGACTGCAGGACACAGCATTTCCCCTTCACAGCTCACAGCATCACAACATTTTGGCCAAGAGGATCGGAAACCTCAGTACCTAGCCTTCCCCTCCTATATATGCACCACAAGGTGGGAAGGTAGAGTCTGAAAACCTGTGAAAAAGTGCAAAATGGTAACCCCTTCCCATGCCTTGGCCAGCCACATTCTACATAACTTATATAGGAAACCTGCCTACATGCATTGTATGTGAGGACAGCGAGGGCCCACAACTCAACCTGGCATGTCAGAGAGAAGAAGTGAGGGCTGAAAGCCTGCCAGAGCAAGGAATAAGGTAAGTTTTACAGATTACTCCTCTACTCCTAGAGTTGAGTGTCTCTCAACTTCTGGGTCGTGACCTGGTACCAGGATACATCTTCCCCCCTGCCAGCCTGCCATTTGACAGCAGTTACAAAATAAACACCAGTGGGGATTGCTTTCCTTCTTTGAGTAACGGCTTGACAGTTCCCCTTACAGCAAGGGTCTGTTTTTTTACAAAAATCCCAGAGTTCAGCTTTAAGATCATCTCTTTTATTTGGATGATCCCAACACAGGCTGATGAGTATCTTATAGTAACGGCATTTTTTCACTTCTTGTGTGTTTAGAAGCCAAGCATTGTATTACAAAGATAGGTCCTCCACATGGGGTTATGTAGACAGTGCTTTTGTTTCTAAGCAACATCTTCATTCTCTTTAAAAAGCAATTTCAGACTACAGGTGAGAGCAATCAGCAAGCTAATATTGCCATCCTGGAGATACCGCTACTATTCTGAAGTTCCCTCAGTTCACCTAATCTCTCTGTAATTCAGTGCAGCCATAGCGCACATAATTCGTACGGTTCCTGAGAGTGTTCTTCCTGAAACAAATTCAGAATTAACCCTGATTAGTGGCTGGGAAAAACTTCCGTGTTCTTAAAGCGTATGTCAAGGCAAAAAAAAAAACATTTTTTGTACATATGTACTCACATCCTGTACACGCTGCAGAGGACTTGATGTGAGTCAGGAGACCTGGCTTCCACCACAGCTGTGGCCCCCAGATGTCCATCCTCCCTCTCTTCTCTGCCTCTGGAACCCCATCTGGATGACGTCCCTATGTATCCTGCTAACTACTTACCTCTTGTGAGTTACATACCATTGTGTGCAATCAATGATTGTCAAATACTGCACTTAGTTTGTTGCCCCTCTCTCTCCTTTCATCTTCCACTACAGAGTCCAGCTTAACTCTATAGGGTGCTGCCTCATGACTGTGCTAGCCAAATAACTGAATACCTCCCTACTACCTATGGGACTGTAATATTAAACCCCATCTCTCCAGGCCCATATATTACCTATTGTAGCATGTCAGACAGAGCCTGCCTTATTTCCGTGCTGCAGGACTTCCAGCTTCCTCCCCAGGCTTACTGTAACTTGCCAACCCCTTTCATTCATTGGATTGTAGTTCTTTTAATCATGAATGCTCAACATCACATGTGAATGTTACCGTGGACAGTCTGAACATATTTTTGTCAACATTTACATGTAGGCCAAGCTGTTGTGAAAAATGATA